TCCCCCTGCTTATTTAACTTATATGCTGATAGCTAATAGTTACTGACAAATCTGTCCCTCATTAATTAGTTTGAGTCCCATTTAGAACCATGAAAAGGAATACTATTAACCTTCTCTCTCATGCCCTTGAATTTCTTACATGAATTATCAGTTGCGACCTGAATCTTTTCCTGATGGGTTTCACCGGAGAGAAACATGTTAAGTTTGCCAGTGTGCTACGATATTGTCCTTAAAGATCAGGAAGCTTATAATGGCCGCACATTTTGGAGCCTTAAGCTGTCACAGGGACTTGACTCTGGCAGGGGTATTGGACGTGGTAAGAGCAGTGGTGGCCTCATGGCTGCAGCTTGGGAAGGGTGTCTTGTGCTTGGGGGCCAGGTGAAAACCGTTGCTTGAGTTCAGGATGCTGGAGAGATTTTTAGGTAAGCCATTAGATAGCAAGGTAAAGGTTCCCCTTGACATTTAGTCCAGTCGTGTCCATCTCTAGGGGGTGGTGCTCATCCCCGTTTCCAAGCCGTAGAGCCAGCGTTTGTCTGAAGACAGTTTCCGTGATCACGTGGCCAGCGTGTTTAGACATGGAGCACCGTGACCTTCCCACCATGGTGGTACCTATTTATCGACTCACATTTTTACGTGCTTTCAAACGGCTACGTTGCTGGGACAAGCGACGGGAGCTCACTCCGACACGTGGATTCGAACTTATGATGGCTGGTCTTCCGACCTTGCAGCACAGAAGCTTCTGCGGTTTAACCCACAGCACCACCTTCTCTCTGATTAGATAGCTAGATGGGCCCAAATGCATATTACAGATAACACGTTATTCCAAATGGAATTGTGTTAGCATTTTCAGAGATGCGGTTCCAGCAAAACTTCATGTCTGAATAACCAGGCTGACGAACAAAGCCCCTTGTTTCCGTTTGGACACCCAATCAAAAGAGCTAAGTTGCAAACTGTGAGTGCATACGAAACGTTCTTGGACCTTTAGTGCAAAAATGGAGGAAGCAGCCCTTCCGTCGAGAAATGCCGGTAGAAGTGCTTTAACATGCCAGATCTCCACATGAAGAGCTAGTAGGGTACCCCGCCTCTAGCTTGGCAACATCTCATTTTTTCCCTCTTTTCATTCGGTACCTCAACCCCCAGAATTCCCCAGCCAGCATGACCAGCTGCCGGGCACTGTAATCCATCGTGTTCACTTTGTCAACGCTGTGCTCCAGTCGCAGATTTCCTACCCTTCCTCTCATTTTAATTTACCCAGGCAGCCAGTTCTCTTTCGCAGATGGCTGTGTGTGCCGGACAGCAGAACACGTTCAATAATCCTCTGCACGGGGTTTGTTGAGTCATCGTCTGAGCTACTGAGGGCAGACGCACCTTAATGTGCTCACCAAGCAAACTGGGGGACAAGGCTGTTGATGTTGGTATAGAACCAGACGAGGAGATAGCATTGCGTCTTAATTCTGCACGCACAGAGAGAAAGATCCCAGGACTTCAGCACCACCATCATCGACACCTCCACAGTTTCCTATAATTTTGGCTCATCTTTGGATCCATTTTGGAAACACATATGGCCACAATCGAGGCTTGAAACCATACACCGAAGAGCTTTTGGAAAATGTGCAGGCTGTCCTTGCCGCTCTCTCCCAGCTGCACCTCACATCTCCGCTCCCTTCTTCCACCCAGGCGTCTTACCCGCCTGCCGAAGAGAGATACTTCCAAGAGGTCTCTTTAAAAAAGAACTTCAGCTAGGGAGATATCTTTTCATCCTATAAAGCAGCTGGAGAGGTCTCTTCAGTCAGGGCCCTCCGGCAATGAGGGACTAGAAGCCATAAAATATTTAGCCGCCGTTGTTGACAAGAAATTGGTTTTAAGAGGTGGAGGGGAAAAATATTCCCTTGTCGTTTCTGAATAAACTTACATTCTTGATGCTTACTTGAGGCTGCCAGCGTCGTCGTGCTCCTCGGGAAGGCAGAAAGGCATGCATTATTGAAAGGAAAACCACAGGCTGTCATGTTTTACCACAGGAAGGGTTAAGGAGGGCCAGGAGGCAAGAAAACAAAAGAAGGAGGCCAGACAGAGCTCGGCTTGCGCCGTCTATGGCCTACTTTATGGCGAGGTGGTGGTTGCGTTGTGTCTGGTGGTCGTGCTTCGGATTGTGGGTGGAGGTTTGCGCGGCAGAAATGCTCCTCTGAACAAACAAAAAGGAGTTAAGAGAGGAAACGGCAAGCTCGAAGTGATGTAGCTAAAACATGGCCCAGCAAGCTGTTTGGACCGCAACTCCAGAACGATGGCGGCTGGAAGAGTAAAGGATCCATCCTTCAAAAAAAGAAGCTTTTCCCCCCCTAGTTCTGATTCAGATTTCTCGGTGGCACGCGCATTTTAAAATGTCAGTAGGAAGTGCGGCTGCCCGAAAACAATGTGGTCTTATCCAAAGGCAGATCCACTCTCTTTCCACCTTGCACCAGACTTTACAACTTTTAATAACTCTTTCCTTTTTTTTTCTTTTTGCCTAGGCAACCATAATGGGTCGAAGTTCTGAGCGAAAGGCAGGATTTAAGTGAAATAGAGAGAGAGAGATGAATATCCACTGTACTATAAAGTTCAGTGCGAAAAGATAAAAGGAAGCGCGGCCCATGCGGTGAAGAGGCTCAAAAGCATCACAGAAACGGGAAATCTGTCTTCATAGCCTCCGCTCTACCCAGTAGTTCTTGCTGGAAATCTATTTAAATCAGAGCTGTTGTCTGTCAGATATTCTGCCGCTCCCTAGCGAATACTCCCTGCCTTGTCAGAATCCGAATAATAACCTGATCCTGAACCTAAATTACAATGAGATTCCATGCTTTCTCTACCTGGGACCCTGAATTCTCATAAGCCCTTCCTTAGTGCTGTTCCGACATCAAGGGTGATTTCCAGAGGCGCCTTTCATCCTGCCAGGAGTTAAAAACCGCTTTGCAGCTTTTCTGTCTTTACTCTTTCATAGATTTTTCTGAGGTAGGAAAAGAGAGACGCAAGCTAAGTGGAGATGGTGGAATAAGATTTCAAGGGGAAAACAGTGCAATTCAGTAGCCGGTGCAACTGCATCATCGGTCTTTTGACTTACCACAGAAACTGCATTCGGGGTAAAAAGATGGATTCGCTGTACAATGGGCTGAATCCAACTGGAGTAGACCAAATAAATAAACTGGAATTATATTAACAAAGTCCCTCCTTCACATCATCGGTCTTTTGACTTACCACAGAAAATGCATTCGGGGTTAAAAGATTGATTCGCTGTAAAATGGGCTGAATCCAACTAGAGTAGACCATAAATAAACTGGAATTATATTAACAAAGTCCCTCCTTCAATCAGTCTGCTCTAATTGGGAGTAACAATTGGATTCAGCCCAATGATTTTTGATGGTTAGTGCTAGGAGACAGTTGCTTGGAGAAGTCTAAGGCACCATTTCTGCCAAGTACAGTGGTGCCTCGCTAGACAGTTACCCCGCATGACAGTTTATTCGCTAGACATTGACTTTTTGCGATCGCAGTGCATCTCAATGGGGGGAAAATACAACAACAAATTTTAAAAGAATCAGAACAAAGTCAAATTGGGTTAACAAAGTGTTTATTAAGTGCACTTTATGATTTCAAACATTTTAAACAGTAAATTTTAACTTTATAAATAACAGAAAAACATTTAAAAAATAGCAAACATGAGGCTGTTTAAACCATCATTAAGTGAAACAGGGGACCCAAAATTTAATCGCTATGCGAAGCATGGTCCCAACCATCACTAAGCAAAAATTGCCCATAGGGACCATTGCTAAACGAAGCGCAAAAACACTCCGAAAAAGTCATTGCTACGCGATTTTGTCGCTAAACAGAGTGCCCGTTAAGCGAGGCACCATTGTAAATAAACTGGAATTATATAAGGGTTGAATTAACGAAGTCCCTCCTTCGATCAGTCTGCTCTAATTGGGAGTAACAATTGGATTCAGCCCAATGATTTTTGATGGCTAGTGCTAGGAGACAGCTTGCTTGGAGAACTCTAAGGCACCATTTCTCCCAAGTATGTGTTAACAGTGTATATTAGTGCTGATAATCAGTCCAACTTAATCTTTTCTTCTTCCTTCCGTTTTATTAGGTGCGTCTAGAGTGGCCTACAGACCTCGCCGTTAGCCCAATGGACAATTCTCTCTACGTCCTTGACAATAACGTTGTGTTGCAGATCTCCGAAAACCACCAAGTCCGCATTGTGGCCGGAAGGCCAATGCATTGCCAAGTCCCAGGGATTGACCACTTCCTTCTCAGTAAGGTGGCCATTCATGCTACCTTGGAATCGGCCACAGCCCTGGCTGTCTCTCATAGCGGCGTTCTGTACATTGCAGAAACCGATGAGAAGAAGATCAACCGCATCCGACAGGTCACCACCAATGGGGAGATCTCGCTGGTGGCCGGCGCTCCGAGCGGCTGTGATTGCAAAAACGATGCCAACTGTGACTGTTTTTCTGGAGATGATGGCTATGCGAAGGATGCCAAGCTCAACGCTCCTTCATCCCTGGCCGTGTGTGCAGATGGCGAGTTGTATGTGGCTGATCTTGGGAATATCCGGATCCGCTTCATCCGGAAAAACAAGCCATTCCTCAATACGCAGAACTTGTATGAGTTGTCTTCACCCATCGATCAGGAACTCTATTTGTTCGACACCAGCGGCAAACACCTCTTCACCCAAAGCCTTACCACCGGAGATTACCTTTACAACTTCACCTACACAGGAGATGGCGACATAACCTTGATTACCGACAACAACGGAAACTTGGTCAACATCCGGAGGGATTCCACAGGGATGCCGCTCTGGCTGGTGGTCCCCGATGGCCAAGTCTACTGGCTAACTATTGGCACCAACAGCGCCCTCAAGAGTGTGACAGCCCAAGGACACGAGGTGGCCATGATGACGTACCACGGTAATTCCGGCCTCCTTGCTACCAAGAGCAACGAAAACGGATGGACAACATTTTATGAGTGAGTATTGTGGGGGCCATATCGAAGGGTCTTAAAATCTTTGCCTACAAGAAACTGGCTGCCCGTTCGTTTCCGCATTGATTTCAAAGTGTTAATGATGACATATAAAGCCCTAAACGGTTTAGGACCTCGATATCTAGCAGAACGCCTCCTCCCATATAGATCTACTCGAATCACTCATTCTAGCCAGGAAGGGCGGCTGAGGTGCCTAACGCCAAGGGAGTCATGGAGAGAAAGAACAAGAAACGGGGCCTTCTCGGCAGTGGCCCCTTGCCTTCGGAACAGTCTGCCCCCAGAGATCTGTCCGGCTCCCTCGCTGGGTGTTTTTAAGAGCAAACTTAAGACCTGGCTCTTTAGGCAGGCTTTCCCTCCTGTCATCACTTGAATATTTTTCCCATCTTGAACTATTTAACTACTGTTGTTTTTATTATATTATATTGTTTTTATTTTATGTATTATTGTTAGCCGCCCAGAGTAGACTTTGATCTAGATGGGCGGGGGTATAAATTTGATAAATAAATAAATAAGAAACTGCAGTGCTTTCTGAAAGGATCTGTGGGATTCAACTGCAAAAATCATCAGCCTCCCGGAGCATCATTGCTCCACTATGGAAGGCTTCAGCATGTCCATATATTCATTTTTCTTAAAACTAACTTTCCAGCTATGCTCTGATTTCCTTCTATGACACCATCTAATCTTGTGATGGTGGGCTTCATAAAATAATTATGGAATTAATTTTGTTGCTTAGAGCATGCTTCAGTGTGTAGAATTCTCCCTGATGTACGCTTGTTAAAATCACGTATGCAACACCATCTGAGGCCTAACAGATGTTCCACGGGGAGTCTCTCCCACCAAGGACATTTGGAATAGAAAAAGGAAGACCTATATTTTGCTGGTCCAAACTTCACCAAGAATGGTTGTTGTGGGGTTTTCGGGCTCTTTGGCCGTGTTCTGAATGTTGTTCTTCCTAACGTTTCGCCAGTCTCTGAGGCCGGCATCTTCAAAGAGCCTGAAAAACCCACAACAACCATTGGATCCTGGCCGTGAAAGCCTTCACAAATACTGTACATTCCACCAAGAATGCTTGGCTTTTGAAAGCATGACTCTTTTTCAATAAGTTCAGCCTTATAAGTTTCTGTAGACAAGGTGCTGGATATTAAATGTCTGTCTTCTCTTTGTCTCAACGAGAGTACACAAAACGGCCATTTTGGATGGGAACTCCCAGTGCCCATTTTAGGTGTGGACTTCTGGGAGTTGTAGTCTGAAAAAGAAACTTGAGTTCCAAGTCCTGATTCCAACTTTTATGATTCAAAAGCATAAATAACTCTGTTCATTAGCCACGAAATATAACAGTATTCCATAATCACTGCAAGACCATAAATCAGTTTTCTGAGAACAGAAATTACCCCAAATGGGGTAAAAATGAAAATCCTGGGGGTAATAAGCAAAGACTACCTTGTAGGATTTTGAGCATAACCTTGCTAGCGTGTGAAATGAGTGCAATTGTACAGTAGTTGGAGCATTCTTTGGCACTTCCCTTCTTTGGGATTGGGATGTAGACTGATCTTTTACAGTCCTCTGGCCACTGTTGAATTTTCCATTGATGATGATTAAAAAAAATAGTGC